CGGGATACAGACATTCGTTGAGGATTATTTGGGACCTGTGACGCAGACTTGGAGTTGACGATATCTCCCATCTTCTCCTCTCCCTCTGTCTCTTCACTTCCCCCTTCGTCTGTGTATGTTGGGGTCTGGCGCTATCTATTCTGTGTGAGCGCCAGCCCTTCACACCACTGTATGATGATGATAAATGTCGGGACTGTACTGCAACATTGATTGAGTCGGATCATTGATAAGTCTTCCGCTCGCCATCTTGTACTTTGAAATGAAAGGTCGGTCCTTGTTCTGTTTTGCATGATCTAGTATGCAACAATATGTGTGGAGGTGTGCTGGTATATCTATAGTGTAGGACGGTCCGTCTTCTCCGCCCTCGACTTCTAGAACCGCCCACGGTCCTCTATATGCAGGCAGCAATTTCTGCGAGATGTGCTCCTCAGGTGCAAACTCTTTGGACTTGACCCAGACTAAGTCGCCTACTTGGAACTGAGACGGGCGACGGTGCTTGTTTGCCTGTTCTATCATTCTGTGTTGGGCCTTCCTGAGGTTTTCAACAACTGTTGCTAGTTCTTTCTTCGGCTGTACTACGAACTCCCTGGTACCGGGCGGTAGTCTGTGAATCTGATCCCCGTTCAGTCCTTCGAACGGTCTGCGTGGTCTAAAGGACTTGTGCAGCTCATTGGGAGTGCGACAGGTGGATAGATGCACGTTGTTGTTGTATGCACTAGCTACCTTAGGCAACATCTCATCCCAGTTGATCTGATCAGGTCTAATGTACATGCGCAGAACTTGCTGTAGGATCTTGTTCATATGTTCTGTCGGACCGTTGGTCTCTGGATGACGGCCAGATGACATTAACAACTTAGATCCGTAAACTCTCATTAGTTCTTGCCAGTTCTGGCTGGTGAAACGACTATCTCTATTGCTAACTATGGATAATGGGACTCCGTTCTCACTAAACCCAATGATCAGAAAACTTCTGAATAATTAATTTGGTACGTGCCTCTACAGGCAAAGGAACAAAAACAGTGTACTTACTAAACCGATCAACTATGACCATGACTTGGCTCTTACCATGTCTACTTTTGACTTGGGTATCCATAAAGTCTATGGACACTGAGTCTCCCGGCTGATCGGGAATAGGCAAGGGTCTGAGAAGACCTAGAGGGGCACGCGTAGTGGTCTTGTTCCTCTGGCAAACTTTGCAACTGCGAACATATTCTATGGAGTCATTCTTCATCCCTGGCCAGGTGTACGCACGCATCAGATTGGCTAATGTCTTCTGCCAACCAAAGTGCCCCTCTGTGTCATGGCATTCCCCTAGGATCAAACTGCGGACTTCCTCACTATTGGGAACGCGTAGGCGGTCAAATACAGCTTCTCAAACAGCAATCTTTTTGTAGTGCGGTAGTGTGGTTCGGTCTCTGGGGCCTCCTTAACTCTCTTGAGGAGGTCACTATAGATAGGGCCCTGCGCATATGCTTGCCTCACTTTTTCCTGCAGGTCTCTCCCTATATCCAAATAGTGTACTATGGCTCCAAAGTAGTCTGATCTCCTACTCAGAGCATCCGCAACTACGTTGTACTTGCCCTTCACTAGCTTGAGTTCAAAGTCATATTGGTCTATCTCTGCGGCCCACCCAGTCAACTTAGGTGTCATCTTGGCCTGAGTCTTTAACCATCTAAGTGTCTCATGGTCAGAATACACTTTGAAGTGCCTCCCAAGCAGGTAATGCTTCCAGTGTTCTAAGGCCTGCCTGAGAGCGTAGAGTTCCCTCTGGTACGTCAAGGTAGCAACCTTCTCTATGGGCATCCTCGCTGACATGATCTCTACGGGTCTATAGCCATTGCCGTCGTCTTGCTGCAGCACGGCGCCTATCCCATACTGACTTGCGTCCGTGGTGACGACAAATGGCAAAGATGGATCGGCTACCTTGAGGACACAGTACTCTATCAGTGCACGCTTTAACTTCTTTAGCGCAGACGTACAGTCTTTGTCCCATCGCCAGATTGCCTCTTTCTTTGGCAACCTGCGCGAGGGAGCGGCGATAGTAGAGAAGTTCCTCACGAACTTCCTATAGTAATTAGCTAGGCCTAATCTCGGCTATGGCTTTCTCACCCTGCTCGGTCTCTCCCCGTCTGTCCTCTCTCTCTCCCTTCTTCGTCACTCCGTGGTCAAGCTCCGCGGCTATGGCCGCAATCTTCTTCTTCGTGGACTGAGCGGCACACTTCACAGGTACGTAACAACCAAACTTGTATCGCTCATCTCTCTCTCTCTCTCTCTCTCTCTCTCTCTCTCTCTCTCTCTCTCTCTCTCTCTCTCTCTC